GAAAAGTGTGAAGGGTGTGCCGAAACGGGCGTGACGCCCACATGCGAACTGCACCACTGGGAGCTTCGGTGGAGCTCCCTGTGACCCCACGAAACGTGTTAGTGGTGTGCCGAAACGGGAGTGGCGCCCACATGTGAACTGCACCACTGGGACCTTCGATGGAGCTCCCTATGGGGGTCACGAAATATGTGAGGAGTGTGCAGAAACGGGCGCGACGCCGACATGCGAACTGCACCACTGAGGCCTTCGGTGGAGCTCCCTATAGGGCCACGAAGCGTGTGATGGATGTGCCGAAACAGAGACGATGCAGGGATGGGAGGAGGGAGGAGGGGGAGGACGAGGAGAAGGAGGGAAGGAACGCGGGGCGCTGTCTCTTCAAAACGAGGACCAAACACCACAGGATGTTTGGGACAAATAAGCAAAAAGGAAGCGTGGACCCGTGGAGGTCTGAAATGACCTTTCCCCCGGGACCAGTTTCTCATCCCGGGAAGTTGTTGACGGCCCTGGGGCCTGGTGGGGGCCCCTGGAGGGCGATTGTTGTCAGAACACGTGCCCGCCGTTTTTTTTGTTTTCTCGTTTTTTGTTGTTGTTTCTCTCGCAGCGAGAGGAGCTCTGGGTGTCGGGGGTCGACAGCTTCTAGGCCTCCTAGATGTAGTCGGAGCAGATGGGGTCGGAGGATCGCGCCGCATCGCCGATGTATCGCCGATGCGGCTCGGTGTGGAGCCCGCTTTGCTTCGCGCCGACGGCGCCGATGTACCGCCGACGTCGCCCGACGCATCGCCGACGCATCGCCGACTTATGGCCGAAACATCGGGGATGCGGCGTGATGCTCCGACCCCATATATATAGATGTATATATATATATACACATATACATATACAAATGTAACTATATTTATATACATATATATATATATACATATCTATATATATACACATATTCTGGTCCCGTCTAGGAGGCCTCTGAAGGCGACCCCTCGACCTCTCCTGGGAGGCGATCGGGCCGGGTGCTCGCCTCGAAGCAAGCCGCGGCAACGGGAAGCCCCAGAGAAGGCACGAGACTCCCAACATCAGTGACCCGGATAGAAAGGCGATTTTCGGCGAGATTTACCCATCAAAAGATTCCCAAGGCGATTTTCGGTGAGAGGCGGGTCTGCCCTGCGGGCCGCACGCGCACACGCCTGGAGAACGGCCTCGGCGAGGCGCAGCTGCCCGAGGGCAGCCTGGGGCTGGAGGGCCCTGGGGCCTTCCAGGAAGTGCCAGGGAAAGAAAACAGAGCCGTCGCGATTCCCAGACATCCGATGCCATGTTTTTGTCGATACAGTCGGGGCGCTGAAGAAGGAACCCTCCTCGTTGGGGAGGGGCTCTGTGTGCCTTGATTGTTTTACAGTTTGCCTTCGGTTTTCCTCCGGATTTTGAACGGGAAATCGAAGACTAACTCATGGGAAACAACAGGGGCATCGTTCCTCTTTTCAGGGTTCCTTGGGTCAACGCCCCGACGGTAAGGGGTCGGTCCCCGGAAGTCCCGACCTTCTCCTCAGGGTCGGTCTTTCGTCGCGAGTCGTTGTTTGATGCCCCCAGGGCCCAGCGAGGGCCCCCAGAGGTCGAAGACTGGGAAAGGCCTTCGTTTTGTTTTTGTCACAACGGCGAGCCCCAGAGATTCAGACCACTTCCCTGGGGCCAGCTTTGTATCCTTAGCCGTTTCTTGACTGTCCCAGGGCCGACGAACGATGGCGACTTCGAGCGACGGAATTGCGACGACGACGACGACGACGAGCGACGACGACCTCGAGAGAACCGTATAGGGACTCGGGGTGCCGAAAACCCGTCCTTCGTGATTTTTGCGCGACGCGAGGAGGTCAGGCAGGGCTCCCGTATCGATCTCCCAACCGCCCACTCTCTAGGCTTCTTAGGTGGGGTCGGAGTAGATGGGGTCGCAGGATCGCGCCGCATCGCCGATGCATTGCCGATGCGGCTCGATGTGGAGCCCGCTTTGCTTCGCGCCGACGTCGCCGATGCACCGCCGACGTCGACAATGAATCGCTGGTGCATCGCCGTTGCATCGCCGAGGCATCACGGATGCATCGCCGATGTATCGGCGATGCGGCGCGATCTTCCGACCCCATCTACCCCGACCCCATCTAGGAGGTCTCGAGAGGGGCCCGATAACTCGCCCCGCGCCGGACTTTTTGCGGGCTTACGCTATCGGGGCCTATCGCCGAGCTGTGGGCGGCGGATCCCGATTCCAGGCCGACGGGCCCCCGCCGAGCCAGGCACCCCCGTCGCCGATGTTGCCGAAAACGCGGAGGGCGCTTGTTTTCGGTCTTCATGCATAGGCGCTGCCTGTGCACCATCTATATGTATAACAAAACAGTACACGCCGGTCGTGGGAAGTCGGTATTCGTGGGTTCCCAGATCCCAAGCTACTTCAAGCGCCTCCCTGCTTCGAGAGTCGCCATGCTTTTGCTGCGTCTTGTGATTCTCTGGGAGGGCCCGGACCCGATCCACTTTGGCCGCCCTCCTACTCCAGGTTCCTGCCTACCTCTTCCGACCGACGTGCAGACCCCCCCCCGCCGCCTGGGGGCGCCCAGGTCGCAGCCGTGCGGGAGCATTGTCCTTGCCCCCGCTGCCCGAGGGAGAGGCCGACGGGGGGCACCCGGAGCGGGGCGGGAGGTCCCCGGGGAGCGCCCAGTGGGGTCCAGGAGGCTGCCAAGACAGCCCAGGGGGCGCGCTCCAGGACGCCCGAGATGGCCTGAAAAGCGGCCCAGGAGGCCGCACAGAGAGGCCCCAGGAGCGCTCCACGAGGACCCCCAAGAGGGCCCAAAGAGGCAACGATTATTTATTTTCCTCCTGATTTCGTATGTTTTTCGCGTTCCCGCGCTATGGACTCCGACGCTCCAAGCTGGCCGCAGAGGCTCTCAAGAACGCCCGAAGACGGCCCAAGAGGCCCCCAAGAGGGCTCCAAGACGGTCCAAGAGGGTCGCAAAACAGCTTAAGAGGCGCCCAAGATTGCCCAAGAGGACGGCTCCCAGAGGGGCCCAAGAGGTGGAACATCCGACAAGAGGGGCCCAAGAGGCCCCCAGGAGGCCCCAAGAGGCCACCTAGAGAGCCCAAGAGGCCCCCTAGAGGCCTCACGAGGCCCCCAAGAGGCCCAAAAAGATACCCCAAGAGGCCTCCAAACGGCCCCCAAGAGGCTCCCAAAACTGCCTCCTCCCACCATATTCAAACGAACTTCCAAGAGGCCTCCACGCCACAACCCAGGCACGGTGGCGGGATGGGCCGAAGGCCACTCGACAGTCAAACACGCTCAAGGCGGTTACTCGAAGATGCCCCCAGGATACCCAAGAGGCTTTCCAAGAGGTCTCTGAAGAGAACTCGAAGATGCCAACACACGTTGATGTTCCAGAGGTTTTTGAACAATTTTGGCGTTTTCCGCATGTTCCATTTCCAGACGCTGCAAGACGCCCCAAGATGCCCTGAGGATCGCCCCAAGACGGCCCAATAGGTTTCAAAACGGCCCCAAGACGGCTCCAAAACGGCCGAAGAGACGTCCAAGACGGCCCGAGAGGGCTCCAACCGTGGCCCAGGATCGGGAACGTGAACCGAGAACCCAAGATCTTCGCCCCATGAGACCCCCAGGAGGTCTCAAGAGGTCCCCTAAGAAGCCCCAAAGAGACCCGAAAGAGCACCGAGAGAGGCCCCGAGGGCACTTGAGAAAAAGGGAATTCCAACATTCCTTTATTTCAAGTTCGCCTCGCAGCTTGGCTAGGCTTGCAAACAAAAGGAAATATCTCATTTTCTCCTCCTCCCCCTCCTCCTCTTCTTCCTGTTCCTCCTCCTCTGCGGCCTCCTCCTCCTCCGCCTCCTCCTTCTCCCCCAGGGAACCACTTCACCTCCCCTTTTCCTCCCTCTCCCTCTGGCTACGTCCAGCCGCGGCAAAGAGACGGGCCTCCGAAGTGCCTCTTAGGCCGCCGTGGGTGGACTGTTGGAAGTCTTGAAAGCCACTTGGGCCGTCTTCCTGGCTCTTGGAAGCCCCGGAGAAGAAGTATCATACAATACAGGTTACCGAGGGTTCGACCAGTCAGCCTAGCTAGAACATGAACGCGCGCGACGCGCGCGCGATGGTTCTAGTGTGTGTGTATACATATATATACATATATGTATAGATACGCAGTCAACTCGCGTAGTAAGGACGCGGGCCTTCATCTAAGGCACCCTTCTGTCCTTGCCTATGCGGCTCGTCCTTTGCCGTTGTCACTGGACGCCCGCCGCCCAAAACCATCCCAACTTTGGCCTCCAAGGGTCTTGTGTCCTTACCACCCGTCCTTCCTACGCGCTGTGATTGTATGTGTGTTACATATGCACCTGTCTCTCTTTCAATCTCGATATACACATCCATGTGTGCAGTTATATTTAATGTATACACATGCACCTGTAGATGTTGTGGCCGCATTTGTTGTTGCGTTTTCAGGTCTGGGATCGGCCCCCAGACCATCTGGCCGTTATTGTCAGGTCCCATTTGTCGTCTCCACACGGTTTTTGATGTCACAATGCTTCATTTTTGACGCCCACTTTTTTGGGTGTGTTTTTCTTTGCAGACGTCTTGGTCGAGGCAATAGCGAAACATAACAGCGAGCATAACACATCGGCGTTTCTATGGTTTGCGTTGGGAAGGTCGCTTGCAGTGTGGCGCCTTGCTCGCTTGTTCCACGTTTCCCCCCGCTCCTGGGATAGCGCGAACCGAAAAAGGCCAGGCAGGGGGGTGGCGTGCATAGCAGGGATCGTGTGCTCTGCGGAGATCGATGCTGCATGCTTGCTTCCCAACGCCAGCCCTGAGATCCGACGTCGCGAAACAAATACAGCACCACGAAAGATCACAACCGGAGCCCTAGACCCTAGACCCCATCTGTCAGCTGCATTTTTCGAGCCGGATCGATATGGTTCAGGCGATGGCAAACATGGATCAAGGCGGCGTGGATTAGTGACGGGTCTGGTTTTCCATGGGAAATCGCGGATTTCCGCCGCCGAACGAGGCGGCCCCGGCCGGATGTTGGGGAGGGCACCTCCCCCGGTCAATGGATTTGGCGACCGCGCGCCAGATCCATGGACCGCTAATCCATGTTTGCGCGCCCCCGAGTGGTGGCCCCCGCGCCGAAACCGGGCGAAAACGCTGTGTGCAAAACAGAATGGGACGCCTGGATCCCAGGCTGCCCTCGCGGCGAGAGGAGGTCTGGGCCCTCGCCCAGTACGGCTTCGCCGCTGAGCGCAACCCCTTCGGGAGCGTCCGGGCGCCCGTGGGCGACCAATGCACATCCGCACATCCGCGGCCTCGCGGGCCGGGCCCCTGGGCCGCGACCCAGCGTATGCGGGGCGTTTTCTCCTGGTCTCGCGGTCTCGCGGGCTCGCGGTCTCCTGGTCTCGCGGGACACATCCGCACATCCGCGGTCTCGCGGGCCGGGCCCCCGGGCCGCGACCCAGCGTATGCGGAGCGTTTCTTCCGGGATGCCCCGCGCGGGGCGCGTCCGTGCGACCGCGCACCGGCGGGATCGGGCCCCGGAGTCCGGACCGCGAGGGACTGAGAGCCACGTGCAGCATCCCCAGAGGAACGGTGGGGGGGGGGAGGAGGGAGAGGGGGGAGGGCAGGAGAAGGGAGGGCAGGGCATGAGAACGAGAATGTCCAAGCACGAAGTGAGATACGGTAGCTTCACGCGTCGTTGGCGCACCGGCGACGCCTGCGAAGGCGTTCAAGGTTGAATTTTGCGACGCAAGAGCACCGAGGGACACGGCAACGCCGCTGGACCTTGCGGAACTCATCCTTGAGCGATCGGGGCCGCGATCGGTTCAGGGCTGAACCATCGACGCGGCGTCAAAAACTTTTGCGCGCGCCGACGCCGCGCGACCTTGCCACAATTGCCTCTCTCCTCCTCCTCCTCCTCCTCCTCCTCCTCCTCCTCCTCCTCCTCCTCCTCCTCCTCCTCCTCCTCCTCCTCCCCCTCAATTCCTCCTCCTTATAGATAGCTCCTCCCTGTCGCACCCCGAGGCCAGTTTTTAGGGCGGGCCGGGTGTTTCGCTTGAGATGTTTTCACAATTTATGATTCTGAAGCTTAAAAAGTGTCAGCAGTTTCACAGGTGGAGGGCGGGTCGCTTTCAAAGTGTGCCACTCGCCTTAGCGCCGCGTACATTCGTATTAAACATTTGCAAGTTCTTCACGGATTGAGGGCGGGCCGTTTTCAAAATGTGGCTCTCGTCTTATCGCCGTGCATATTCGTTAAACAAACAATTTGTAAGAGTTTCACGGATTGAGGGCGGGTGGTTTTCAAAATGCAGTTCTCGCCTTAGCGCCGCGCGCATTCGTTAAAACATGCAAGGTTTTCCACGGATTGAGGGCGGGTGGTTTTCAAAATGTAGCTCTCTCCTTAGCGCCGCGCACATTCGTTTTCAACATTTGCCAGTGTTTCACGTATTGAGAGCGGTTCTTTTTCAACATGTGGCTCTCGCCTTAGCGCCGCGCGCACTCGTTTTAAACAGTTGCAAGAGTTTCACGGATTCCCATGACCAGCGTACCAGAATTGGCGCGTTGGAAGGATTCAGGATTATATGCGGGCGCAATAGTTATGTTGATTCGCTGTGTTGAAGTCCACAAAAAGGCGTTCTGGCACGATTCTGGACCGTCAGGACGCAGCAGTCAGGTTGATACGTGGCGTTGAATCCCCGAAAACAATATCTTGGCACGCTTCAGGATCTTCAAACTGTTGTCTTCCCACGAGGCCTCAATGGAAATGAGCAGTTGTAGGGGCCTGTGAAGAGGGAGCATGGAGGAAGGGTTAATTCCAACATCGTTGATAACTCTTGGATTTCCAGTGGTCCTCCTTTTCCTCCTCCTCCTCCTCCTCCTCCTCCTTCTCCTCCTCCTCCTCCTCCTCCTCCTCCTCCTTCTCCCCCTCCTCCTCCTCCTCCCCCTCCTCCCCCCCCTCCCCCCTGGGGCGGGGGGAGCACCGCGGCTGCTCCCCGCTCGTGAGGTGCGGGTGCCCCTGCCGCCGAGCGCCGCCCCGGGCCTGGGGCACCCTGCCGCGCGGGCGCTCGAGGGGCTCGAGGCCGCCGGCTCGGTCCGCGTGCAGGACCCGAGGCCGGAACGTGCCCATGCCTCTGCGGAGCAGGACAGCCCCAGAACCCCTGGCGCTGTGAAACCAACAAAAAACACGGCGGGAGTTGTTCCGCTAGGTTCGGCCTCTGGGGGGGGCCTTCACAGGTCCTCGGGGCCGTCAGGGTACGAATCAGGATGAAGAACCGGTCCCGGGGAAGGGGTCCAGACCTCTGGGGGTCGACGTTGCGAACAAAACTTACGACGTCGGGGGTCTCGGGAGATTATACCCATACCGCTAGCCTTCCCCCGTTTTCCCCTTTTGGGGCATCCCAGGAGGTCCAGAGAGTAGCGGTACCGATACCTTTTGGCTTCCCCAAAGTTCACCTCGGGGGCAGATCTTTTGGGGATAGTCTAGGCCTTCCAGATGGGGTCCGAGTAGATAGGGGTCGGAGGATCGCGCCGCATTGGCGATGCATGGCCGAGGCGGCTCGATGAAGAGACAGATTTTCTCCATTCTGATGGCGCCGATGCATCGCCGACGTCGCCGATGGATCGTCGACGCATCGCCGATGCATCGGCGACGCGGCGCGACCTTCCGACCCCATCTATTCGGACCCCATCTAGGAGGCTTCTTAGATAGGGCATCCAGGGGCCGCCTCACCGACCCCTGGCAAACCATCCCCTTCCGTATCATCCCCCTCGCCTCACCCCATGGCGTATGCGTGCGGCTGGAGTGAGGTCTGGAGGGGTGCTTGTCACAGAAGAGGTCGGGTAGGCCGCGCCCGAATAGGGGGCAGCCTCGATGTCGCCGCGGCCGCCGCCTCTCCCTCGGCCAGCGGCTCCGGCTCGCCCCCTCGACCAGCTCCAGCTCGTTGTCACCGACTCCGCCGTGCCGCCGCTGCCGCCGCCGCCGCCTCCGTCGTCGTCGTCGTCGTCGTCGTCGCTCTATTGTTGAAGTCTTGTTTTTTGTTTAACAAAAAAAGGTGCACTTGAGAAAAACTGAATCAGTGGATGATTTGAGCACCCATGATATGGATATCGAGATCGATCGTGAGATCGACAGTGGGATCGATAGCGACGACGATACTAAGGTCGATTGTGAAACCGATAGCGAAGTCGCTTCAGTGAGATTAATCGTGAGATCGATCGTGCGATTACTCGGGCTATCTACTGTGAGATCGGTTCTGATATCGAAAGTGAGATCGACTGTGGGATCGATCGTGAGATCGATAGTGAGATCGATCGAGAGATGGGCAGTGAGATCGATGGTGCGTCGGATCGATCAGGAGATCGACCAAGAACCCGGGAAACCTGGAACCCCGAAACCCGGGAACCCCGCCGCTCACCGAAATCGGCCCAGAACCAGCAACAGGGAACCGGCCGGGGATCTCGGAACCGGGAACCCAGGAACGGGGCAGCCCACCGAAATCGGCCAGAGTCTTTCGTCAAGTCTTTTGCAATCCGCAAGGACCCCGTCAGTGTAAGCACGACTTGGGGACTGTCCGTTAGGACCCCTGCAGTGCAAGCATTGATTGGGGAATCAACGTTGATTCCCCCCCTCCGGTGCACACTGCATTTTTCAATTAAAGTGCTCCTGCAGGGGCTTGCACCCGATATTTTCTTACGGGAAGTCTTGGCCCAAAGCCGCGCGCTCGCGCGGGATTTCATCACAATTTACACAGAAATCGCGCACTCGCGTGGGACTTCCCCGCAATTATTTGCGACGCTCTGCCCTCGACACTCAGGAATTGCGCTCTCGCTTTGGATTGCCTAACGATTAATTTGGGAATCGCGCTATCGCTCGACACTTCCTCAGGACACGCTTCAGCAACCTGCCTGCTCGACCCAGCCGCCTGGGCCCGCCTTCCCGACCCGCCCGTTGGGGTCTACCCGCCCGATCTGCCCGTCTGGTTCTGCCACGTGCGTTCTGCTCCTAGCCCCCCTCCTGCTGTTCTCGTCCGAGCTCGAATTGTCATTTCTACAGTAATTCTTGTTGGTCTCCCTGGTGGCCATTGAGCTTTTTCAGTTGAAGTGCTCCTCCCGGGGCCCGCACGTTGTTTTTACAAGGGGAAGCGTTGGGGCTGAGATTGTGCCCTTGCCCCCTGGTTTACAACAACAGTGGCTCCCGCCGGATTTTTCCTCACAGTGTATTCCACTATCGCGTTCTCGCGCGGGACTTCCGCTCAAGTTAATTACCGCATCCACGCTCTCGCGTGGCACTTCTTCGCAAGTTTCTCAGACGCTGCGCCCACGACGCTCAGGAATCACGCTCTTGCTTCGGCCTTTCTCGTGATTTACTTGGGAATCGCGGGATCTGCCGAGACCTCCTCGCGATTCATGCAGGGTCCACGCTTCAGCAACCTGCCTGCTCGACCTGGCCGGCTGGGCCCGCCTTCCCGACCCGTCCGTCAGGGTCTACCCGCCCGATCTGCCCGTTTGGTTCTGCCACATGTTTTCAGCTCCTAGCCCCCTTCCTGCTGATATCTCTCTTGTGCTCCATCCTTCTCTCTCTCTCTCTCTCTCCCCCGTCCATCCGTCCTCCCTTCCCCTGTTCTGGGGGCTGCGCTACATACAGGCAGGTAATGCAGATAGATCCCAAGATGGTACGATCGGAATCGAAGATGGCGGATACCGAGGGCTTGGGATGTACATGTCGACTCGACTGGCACGCGAGCAGATAGGAGCGAACAGTCTTAAACCGATGTTTGTTGTTGTCGTCGTCCATAACCTCAGAGGAGTTAGAGTGCAATTCCTGGGAGGTTACATTCAGAATTGCCTGATCTGCTTTAGCCAATTCCAATATCGCCTAACTTTGCTTATCTGGCTTGCTCTTATGTTTTTAATCTAGCCAGATCCGGCTTCATGGCCCCGTAATCTTGCTGAATGGTCGCCTTCAAGTGCTCGGACGAAGACTTTTCAGACATTGCGTCCTAAGGGGAGGAAGAGCCACCGATTCCGCTGCCCTTCCGCTTCCTTGTTGGGACTCCTGGGAGGCCCTTGTCGCCACGGCTGGAGTCGCCTCGAGATCCGGGCCAGAGCGCACCCCAGGAGATGGCTGGGGACATCCTCGCGGCGCGGAAGAACCACGGCGGAGGGTTTCTGGCAGTTTTCTGCCTCCGGGAGCCCCCACAGGGCCTCGGGGCTGTCGCAGAACAGTGCAGAGCGAGGAGCGGGTCTCCAGGCAGAGGCCCAGACGCCCAGACCGCTGCGGGGTCGCGCCGTCAAGAGCCGCGAGATCGCACGCCGGAGTCTGGGAAGTCGCCGTGCTTGTACGTCTGTGCCTCTAGGCGCGTTCCGCTGCCCCTGGCCGGGCCCATCTTTAGGGGGCCGCATGCGAGCCCTACCCCTGCCCCCCACGATTTCTGAGGGGGAGGGTGGGGTTCACGTCGCTCGGGAGCTCCCGAACGAAGCGAACCCCCCCCCCCCCTCAGAACTCTTGGGGGGCAGGTGTAGGGTTCGCGTGCGGCCCCCTAAAGATGGGTTCAGAAGGTGTGCGTGCGCCCCCCCTCTTGGCAAAGCCGGGAGGGCGTAGATGCGCCGCTCCCGGGGGCCAAAGATGGGCCTGGCCGGGGGCGGCGGCCGTGTGAAGAGCTCATCGCCCCGGCCCACAGCGCCCCGCGGGGGGGGGGGCGCGAAGGCAGTCGCGCTGCGCGCCCCGCGGTCTGGACTCGGTGGAGCGCTGCCCTTCTCGAAGGGGGGGGCGGTGCGGGGGCCAGAGGGCGGGGCGAAGGTAACCGCGCGTCGCGCGACGTCGGGTGGCTGGGGTCTTGTCCATGCCCATCTCTCCTGGGGAGGCAGTGGTCATGCTGGGCCTCGGGGGGCGGTGGAGAGTGATAGTTGCGGGTCTCGGGGGCCCGGATACGGCTGATGGGCCAGTTTTCCACCATCTGTTTTATAGGTTGGACGGGGGAGAAGGGAGCAGGGGGAGGTCCTCCTCTTCTTCCTCCTCCTCCTCCTTCTCCTCCTCCCTCTCCTACCTATGGTAGTGGTGGTGTGGAATCTGCCCATCAACAGCGGACACATCCTGTAAGACACCGGCCCGCCTGCTGATGCGCTGCAGCATTCTGTATCCCCTGATGGCCTTCGGGCTCTTGCGTGGGAACCGGAGCACAACAGGGCGCTCAAAGACCGACGTCCAGTGTGCCCCTACGTGTATTTCCTAGGGTGCGATTTCTGATGTATGTGCCCACCGCGTGTCCATATCCACAGCCCCCCAGGGGACTTTGAGCGGCGAACGTGGACGAGCCCGCGCCTCGCACAGGAGGAGCCACGGCGCGAGGTCCTGCTGGAGCTCGAGTCCACGCCCGACGCCCAGGCCATGTGCAGGGACCACTCCCAGAAATCCCGACGTCTCGCACCTGAGGAGGAGGAAGAGGAGGAGGAGGAGGACGAGGAGGAGGAAGAGGAGGAGGAGCGGGAGGAGGAGCAGGAGAAGGGGGAGGAGGAGCAGGAGGAGGAGGAGGAGGAGGAGGATGGGAGGAGGAGGAGGAGGAGTAGTAGGAGCAGGAGGAGGAGAGGAATAGGAGGAGAGAAGGAAGGAGGAAGATGAGGAGGAGGAGAGGAGGAGGAGAGGAGGAGGAGGAGGAGGAGGAGGAGGAGGAGGAGGGGAAGAGGGGACGGGAGAGATGAAGGGGGAGGAGAATGGGAGAGGGGGGGGGGAGGAGGGGCTGGAGGATCCTGCAGTCGAGTGAAGACGCAGGTTTCTCAACGATTTTTCGGCCTCCGAGGGTCCTTCGCCAGGCCCTGGGGCCCTAGGGCCTGGGTGAGAAGCTGGCCAGGGGGAAACAGCCCGGACTCCGGGAACCCCTCGATGAACGAGTCAGTGAAACGGGCCTCCAGGCCTTGCTCGATGTCGATTCCGGCTGGCCCGACTCGTTGCGATTTCTGAGCTCGACGATACTGGTGTGACCCGGTGCTGGCATGACGTTGTCATGCACCTTGGCGCGTCCGACTCGATTCGATGCCGGCTCCGTGTCGATGCTGCCCGAATGCCCTTCCGATCCGATCCGAGCTGTCGTTTCGACGCTGACCGCTCCCATCATGAGCTTGATGACTATGGCCGTTTCTGTTGGTGTCCCGCATTTGAGGGAACCCCTACTGTGATGGGCCAGTTTTCCACCACCACTACCACAGGTAGGACGGGGGAGAAAGGAGGATGTGGAGGTCCTCCTCTTCTTCCTCCTCCTCCTCCTTATCCTTCTCCTCCTCCTCTTCCTTCTCCTCCTCCTCCTCCTTCTCCTCCTCTTCCTTCTCCTCCTCGTCCTCCTCCTCCTCCTCCTCCTCCTCTTCCTCCTCCTTCTCCTCCTTATCCTCCTCTCTCTGCTCCCTCTCCTGCCTGTGGCATTGGTAGGGGAAAGTCGGCCCAGCACGGTGCCCACCCACTGCTGGATGCGGCCCAGAGAGCCAAGAGGAGGCCGACAGCCGGCTCTGGGCGGGCCCGGGCCCCCAGGGCGAGGGCCGAGGCCGAGGGCGGCCTCACGGATGCAGACAGGGGTCTTCTCGGAGCGCTTCCTGCCTTCTCGGAAGCCTCCCATCCGTCTCCTCCGACTTGCGGGCAACCCGCGTAGGAAGGATGGGCGGCCTTCCCAAAAGGGTGCCCATCGGTCGTTGGAAGTAGGTATTCTTGAATTCCCAGAGTCCGCTCTACAATAAGCGCCTGCCTTCCTGCTTCAATGATCGAGTGGCTTCCCTTCTTCCCTCCTCCTCAGGGGGCGGGCGGAAACCAATCTACTCTCAACGCCTTCCCACTTCGTGTTTCTATCTACTTCTTCCGACCTATGGGTACCCTTGCATCCTTGCCCCTTCGGCCCATCCTTGGCCTTTTTCGTTGGCCAGCCTCGTGCGAAAAACGCTAGCGTGGCCCTCCAAGGCCCTTGCATCCTTACACCGCGCATCCTTCTGCTACGGGTCGGCTGTAGCATTGTTTGTTTTCCCTGGCACGGTTCCCTGGGCATCTCGGTCTTGGCTCGTGTCTCGCCCTGGGGACTTTTTGTTGACGGTCCTGGGGCTGTGAATGTGATGGGACTGTTTTCCACCACCACCACCATAAGTTGGAGGGGGGAAGGAGGTGGAGGACGACGAGGAGGAGGAGGACGAAGAGGAGGACGAAAAGGAGGAGGTTCACTGCCCATAGAGGGGAGAAGTCAAGGGGGAAAGAAGGGAAAATCGGGTGGGGGCGCCCATCCGATGAGAACTTTTTGTTCCCAACCTGAGGTTCCATCCCCCAGGCAGGGCCCGCCGACAGGGCCCCCCTCAAAAAAACATCACATGGCCTCAGGGTCGGGATCTCCCTTGGCCTTCCGAGACAGCGCTAACGCACGAGCTTCCAGCTCACGCGCGCCAACAGCTTCCACCTCCTCTCGGGAGCCCAACCCAAAGGCGAAAAGCACAGCAGCAAGCTCCATACGAACAGGGGCCGACTGCTCAATGAAAGGGCGCACGCTCGGGCCAGCAGCTGTACCCTCACTACCAGCTGCCAAACCAAAGTGGCTGGACCAGCCCTCGCGGGTGGCCCCGGAGGGGGACCTAACATCGGCGAAAAACGTGCCTGCTTTCGTGGGGTGCTCGCCCCTCTTGAGCCTTAAACGGGACGTGTATGCGGCCCCACCAGAGATCTTACGGGTCCCTTTGCACGGCTCCTTGAGGCCACGCTGGTTCAGCTGGACCGCAAACTGCCAACAAGAGGAGCAAAACAGGACCTGGTCTCCTTCAGAGACCTGGGCAGCTAAAACACTGTGCTCGTTAACCTTCCACGGACTAAGGTGGAGCAAGCCCCTGGACATGGCAGCCTCTCCAAGACCACTCGCCGACACCCCCTGGGACGAAGAGGCAACAACACCAGGAGGGAGGCTGGACACAGGAGCGCCCAGGGGCACGGCAGGGGCCTCAGCGTCACAAAGATCGCCGGGGAGCTCTCCAAGGTCCACCGTCTTCAAGTAATCGATGGGCAAATGGTCTCTCTTCTCGGTGTCTACAGCCATGGCCGTGCACCGCGCCACATACGTCGCCACTTGCCTCGCTACAGCCCTGAACCCCTCCAGGGCTCGGACGTCTGACTCGTCAGCTCTAGCTTGCAACGCCCCTTTTTTGGCAAACGCATCTGCCTGCGAATTCCCCAGGCGGTGGAACGGCGAGATTTTTCCCGCCTCCACATCCATGGAGGTCGCGTGGCCCTTGACGTGAATGAAGGGGCGCTGTGTGAAATCTTCTCTCGAATGGACCCTGTTCCAGATATGCGCACGAGCATTGGACGGTGCCTGCGCCATGGCAGGCTTCATGCAGCACGCAAGGGTTCCTTTGCAATCACATAACACCGAAAATTGGCCCAACACCAACTCCGACACCTTCAGGACCGCAAAGTCTTCCCCGTCTCTGGCCACCTGCCGGGGCGCGAAAAGCGGGGGCACTGCCCCATACATCACTCCCACATACCGACGTTCAGAATCATAAAAGACCGCCGACCACCCAGCACAGTTGATCGACGGAAAATCACCATCAAATCCCGATCCGTCCACAAAGACGTATCCCCCTTCTAGCAGCACTGGGAGATCCACACCTTGGTAGCGGACCTCCCATTCCGCCTGAAAATCCCGGCGGCGAAAACACTGATTCGGCTCCGGGAAGATCGCTCTCGCAAACCGCTCTCTCCATTGGTGCGGCGCCGTGGCCATTCTTTTCTGCGCGCGTTCGACCAGGGACTCAAGATTGTCACGCCTCCAGAGGGCGTGGGCCTGGCAGCAAAACGCTCGGTGAAAGAAGGTACCGTGACCTCCTTCACAAAGCATGCAAACGTCAGGCAGAGACGGCTCGTGCTTGTTCATAAGCAGCTGATTCCAATGGGATCCCACAATGAGACCTCGCAGCACGTTCTGATCGTGCTGCGTCCATCCTTCCGAGGGCTTGGCGAACAAGAGCTCCAGCGTGCGTCTCCAAAAAAGCTCCGAATCCCACGGCCCCCGTTTGTCCTGCAGCAACAGCGCTCGCCTGTCGGACGCGCGCCGGGCTGAGTGAGCCACGAGCTGAGACAAGAAACCTGGCGAATAAAACATCAGGTCCCACTCCCCGCCCCAGTCGTCAACCGCAGCGGTCACGCCGCGAAAGCTCCACCCCACCCTTTTCATCGTAAGGACCAGGGCCATCACAGGATCTTTGGCCGAGATCCATGGACGAAGCTTCTGAGCATGCTGCATCGCCTGCGCAAGCAGCCCCTCCAGAACCGCTCGCGCGAGGTGCCCCTCCCAGAGCACGGCAGCAAAGGTCTTCAAAGAATCAGCGCTAGTCAGCACGAGCGGATCCCGCCTCGAGCCCGACCGGCTGGACATGAGAGAGAGGCCCAGGGACGCTCCTCGAGGGAGCCTCCCTTGCGCCTTAGCTGCCTGGACCCTCAGCGTTGTGAGGCGCCCATCAGGGATTCCTGAGATACACGACCCCCACATCGCCACCGCCGTCGGCCCCGATCTATGGGCAGCTCCAATCTGCGCGCCTCCAGCTTGTAGGATGCGCAGCCGCTTCCCTCGCCTGAGGGAGTCGTGATACCGACAGAGCTGAGACTCGCACCTGCGAGCCGTGCCATCCACGGCATCTCCTCCGAGATCCCTGTGGACCACACCGCGATCCTCGGGCCCCAAGGCCCAATTCGGAGCCATGTCCCTGGCCAACTGGCTCGACGAGGCCAAGTAGGTCGCCTTATGCCAAGAAATTGGGAGGCCCCTGGAGATCATCGACTGCGAAACCATTTGAAACGCTCGAGGCAACTGCTGAGCAACCGTGGTGGGACCCCCAAGGGCTTGAAACGAAACATCGTCAATCACACTACGGATCGTGACAATCGGATTGGCCGCTTCTGCCTTGCGAAGAGTCACCAAAACCATAACTCTGGCCAGTGAGGTTGCACAAGAGCAGCCCGCTACTACTGTGCCATTCGCATGCAGCGCCGGCGACGTGATTGACTGAAATACTGCGCGCCGCTCCGCACGGTAAATGCAGCACAACGATCGCAACAACTTCTCTGAGAAGCCTACTTCGCGAGCTGTCTCTCGGAGCTCAGCGTGGCCGATGTTCTCGTAGTATTTCCGGAGGTCGAGAAAGGCCGAGGCCATGGAGAGGCCCTTGAGCCTTGCATAAGACGCAAGGGCATTGTGGAGCCACGCACTCTTGTCGCACGCTGACGAGCTATCCTGGCCCCAGAACAATTTACAGCCGTGGGATTTCTCCCACCTGTCGCACTCCTGGTGCCGAATTTTCGAATAGACCCTCGACCAGAGGGGGAGGAGGCCGATCGGCCTCACTCCCCCGGTCGGCTTGTCTAGAAAAATAACCAGAATGAGCCAGAGCTGAGAGACCCGCGGATCCGCCTCCCAAGCATTCAGCACATCCGCAAATCTCCGAGCAAACTCTGATGGCAGCTGCTCCATCAACCGAGGGTGAAAGCCGTCCCAACCCAAAGCCTTCCCCCTCCCGAACGATTTGCATGCAGCCAAAACCTGCTCTGCCGTGATGGGGGGCAGGTCGTCCCGGACCTCCCATGCTGCCGGGTGAATTTCCCCCCTGCGCGTCGAGTTATCCCAAAGGGGCTCCCATTCGTTCAGGATCTGACGCAAAGCTTGCTGGCTTGCGAGGGGGGCTCCACCCTCCTCGCCTTCGTCCCCCCACACCGGGGAAGCCGCTGAACCGGGCTCCTTCGAAAAATCGTGGGCCTTCTTGGCTCCCTTGGTAACGGACTCTTTACAGAAGCCTTGCCATTCCTGCTTTGCGCGCTTTGCGTCCGCCTCAAGCCGAGCCTGGCATTCACGAGCCAGGGCAGCAAACACAGAGGTCTTCCGAGCAGGGTCCTGCAGGGACTCCAAAACCTGGAGCGCCGAAAACTCCCTCAGCTCCTCCTCCCAGGCCTCAGGGATGATGGCGTCGGCCTCGAGCAAACACGAGAGGAGGTGAGGCCGGACCTGCTCGCTCGACGCGGGCAGCGACAGCAGCTGCGCCAGTACTCTACGAAACGACAGCCATTTCAAAGTGCTGCGAGTCGGGCGGCGGCGGAGCTCTCTGCCCCACGCCGCTGACAGAGGCACCTGCTTAAATGTACAGGCCGCTCGACGCCCGCAGTGCTTCCTCTTATCATGTTCTGGTACCTTGTGGCGGTAGCAGAGCCAACGCTCGGCCAAGTCGAACCAAACCCCCGCAGCCTCACACGGGTCCTCCGGCCCAGAACCAGCCTCCCACCCCCACTCAAACGACGATGGGAGCTGAGGCAAAACGTCCGGATGCGCAACATGTTTTAAATCATTTTGAAACATGTTGGGTGTGGAGGCGGAGAAGGAGGAGGAGGAGAAGGAGGAGGAGGAGGAGGAGGAGGAGGATTCGCACTGAAGTGGGAAAGACTTGGGCACAACGCGTTGCCACACTTTCGCTTGCCGGTGCAGCCCTTGAAAAGTGAGGCGCACGGCTGCGTGCGGTCCCTGAGGGGTGCTAACAATAGTATCTATCCGCCGCACAAACGGCACGAGGCAATGGCTAACAGCAAAAAAATCCAGGCGGCGACCTTGGCAGGACGGGGCCTCAGGAAACATCACCTGGATGCTCAGGTCGGAGTGCCACTGCGAAGCCTGTAGCTCCTGCGGATCCATGTTCCAATCCCCACCGATTACCACAGGGAGCTGAGCTGACAGCACCACCTCCTGCAGTTCTCCAAGGAGCGCCTGGTTGTTGGGCCCCATGCCTTCGGACGTGACGCAATATATGGAAATGAACAAAACTCGCACCTTGTCATCGACCGTGACCTGGTGGGCAAGAATCCTGTGAGGGGGCGCGGTGGACGGGAGCGCCCACACCGCAGACCCATATTTCTTGGAAGCCAAAGCTGCCACTCCACCAGACGTGCAAAGCGCCTCTGCCCCAGTCGATCCTGCGCTGCCACTGGACATGACGAAGCCTGCAGCACTAGCCAAGTTTCGAGCTGGCACTGTCTTGGGGCCCGTGAGCCTTGTCTCCTGCAGCAGCGCTACATCTGGTGTCAAACCCTGCTCGTGATGAAGCCACTCCAAGAACGACTGGCCCGTCGACCAAGCGTTGCAGTTGTAAGAAACCACTACAAATCTGAGCCCGCTGGCGGGCCGGGTCCACGACAACGCCCGAGCAGCGACAGCCTTGGAGGGCGAGGGAGTCGCCGTCGCCGACACAGTGGGCCCCGACCTTGAGCTCGAAGAGGGTCTCGCCTTCGGCTTTGGCTGGGCTGGGGCTCCGACCTGTGGAGCTGCTGCTACTGCTGCTTGCCCTCCTCGTGGCGTGGTCGACGTCTTCGCATGCCCTCCCCGAGCCGTGCTGGGAGGTACTTGCACTGAAGCTGGCGCCGACCGGCCACGATCAGCGTCACGAGAAATCGCGCGACCAGCGGGGGCATCGACCACCGCCCTCACGGGCGCCCCGCAAGCGGCTCCATTGGGGCAGGCTTCCAAATGCTCAGCTCCCCAAGGCGCCGCTCCCAACTGGTGCTGGCGTGCCAGCTCGCAGTCAGGGTCTTGACCAGCGGGGGAATCGACCACCTCCCTCCCGGGAGCCCCGCGAGTGGCCGCCGAAGCGTCGCCACTCCCAACTGGAGCGTCCTCACAGTCAGGGTCTGGGCGCCCACCCCCGACTGGAGCGTACTCGCAGTCAGGGCCTTGCGCTCGCTCTGCTGATGCCGCTGACGAAAAGGAGGAGGAGGAGGAGGAGGAGGAGGAGGAGGAGGAGGACCCCCTCCCCCTCCGACTTATGGTGGTGGTAGTGGTGGAAAACAGGCCCATCATAATGAGTCTCCAAAGTTGGAAAACGGCGGGGGGTTCTCGGACGCCTCCCGTCCGATCTCAGTCGGCTCGGTGCCAGCCGCTCCTGGCGCCAGGCGGCGCCGTCGCGCGCGTCGCTGGGGCTGCTGCGGCTGTGCGCCAGGCGGCGCGGAAGGAAACGCTGCCACTCGAGGAGGTTGCGCAGGCATGCAGTCGAACATCAAGGGATCGGAAACATGGATTAAGGGGGCGTGGATTAGCGACGGGTCCCGTTTCCATGGGGAATCGCAGATTGTCGTCGCCGAGCGAGGCGGCACGGGTCGCAGTTTGGGGAGGGCACCTCCCCCGATCCATGGATTTGGCGACCGCGCGCCAAATCCATGGATCGCTAATCCATGTTTGCGAGCCCCCGAGAACAGGTGATCGTTGTCTTATCCATTGCATGTATTGCCGATCGGAGCGGGCCCTCGCACCCCCTCCCCCCCCGCCCATGGAGTAGACCTTGGCTGTTCTTGGCGCCCGTCTCAAGCAGGTGGCGTCTTCCCCCCTAGGACGCACTGCTGCAAGGCGCCGAACTAAGCAGAGCTTCAGAGCCAGACCCCCGCCCCCCCCCCGCTGCTTCCGCCCAGTGTCGAAACGCCGAATAGGAAAACGTTCACCAGTCGAGCAGGATTATGATGAGGACCCAGACGTCCAACGCCTCGACAAAAATCAAGGCGGAGGTTTCTTCCGTGCCCTCGCCGGGCTGTGGGAGCCCGAAAGGAACGGTTCGGGACGAAAAAACAGCCCTGGAGAAAGTGTCGGGACGTCTGGGGACTCCGTTTTTCGAGGGCGGCTAAGAGGGGGTTGATGACTGGGGGGGATATCATGGCGTGGGCCATGATATCTCCCCAACTTTCATGGCGCCTCTTCTTGTTTCAATACGTCCCCGGCCCCCCCTGGGCCGCGCACATGCCGCCGACCATGATTTGCACCCCCCCCTCTTGGACGCCCCCCTCTTGAACGCCCCCGATGTCCCGTCTTGACCAAGATCAAGACATCGGATGCTCGGGAGCAGGACCAAAATGATGAGTAGCTTTCCGAGGGCACCTCTGCATCCTTGTCTCTCTCTCTCTCTCTCTCTCACCATGTCTCTCTCGGCCCCTCCTGGCCCTTGGCCATGGGCCACAGTCTTCAGATCTCGGCCTCGGCTTGGTCGTCCAAGGGCCTGGCACCCTCACCGCGGATCCTTCTGATCAGGTCGTGCTCTAAGCCTTCGGATGGCCGCGCGGATTTCTCAGGTCGACATTCTGGACGGGGCCAGGACGAGGGTAGATCCATTCCAGAGTGTTCCGGAACGCTCTGAGGAGGCCGCGGCGCCCGAGACGTCCTCCAGAGCTGTCGGATCTCGGTGTTCTCGATTTATCCTCACCTGGATTGATTCTCGTCCTGGCTTCTTACCCTCCTCCCCTGGCGCGCGGACCGCGCCTTGGGCGGCGCCGGAGGCGATCCAAGAAATCCCGGCGGACCTCCGAAAGTTTGTGTCTATGCTGTTCGTCGGTCTTCCAGGAGAGGGGGAGGAGGAGACGAGGAGGAGGAGGAGGAGGAGGCGGAGGAAGAGGAGAAGGAAGAGGAGGAGGACGAGGAGGAGGAGGACGAGGAGGAGGAGGAGGACGAGGAGGCGGAGGGCGCTGCACCTCCGCTGGGCAGAGTCAGCACAACGCAAAAAGAACGGAGAAGGAGAAGGAGAAGGAGAAGGAGAAGGAGAAGGAGAAGCAGGAGGAGGATGAAGAGGAGAAAGAGGATGAGAAGGAAAGGGAGCAAGAGGAGGAGGAGGAGGAGGAGGAGGAGGAGGAGCAGGAGGAGGAGGAGGAGGAGGAGGAGGAGGATCACCAGTGGAGTGAGGAGAAGGAGGAGAGCAGGAGGGGGAGGAGGAGAATGAGAATGAGAATGAGAATGACTGAAGACTAAGTCTTAACTCCATGCTACACCGCTCTCTGACCGCCTCCAGCGACACGAGGAGACAGAAAGGACGGCGACCATGAAATACTCCACGCGCTGCATGTAGGCTGCACCATACGGGCGGCAACCGACTTGGAGACCATACCGGAGTAGGGGAAATTCCCGCGTGCACCCCATTGACGACCTCATAACCACTTCGATAATACAACCTGTACGAGCGACTGCAGCCACGACCGATTGAAGCATATACCCCGCACACAAGAATGCCAGCAATCCACGAAGCCCACTTCCAAGCAGGGGAATAACAAGACTCCCACGTAAACCCAAAAGCGAAACCTCCAAACCATTGCCGAAACATGCACAAGTGACTGATAAGGATACGCAACACTGCATACACAAATGGCCACAATCTTGAAAGATGCAGAGCGGTACCGATGCCGATCACCAGAGCTTTCAAACTGACCATTGAAACAATAAACGCAGCATGTGAAGGTACAGCAGGTACAAAAAAGGCCGCAAGACCCTGTGGGTATGAACCCGGTGGGTATCCCATGGGCACATTAAAACAACTCGTACATATATTGAAATATACAAGCTGGGCCACCATACGCACTTTGAAGGCCCCGCAAATCAGGGAAGATGAATCCAACATCCCACGGACATCCACGAACGCCTGACAAGTGTCCCAGGTGGCATGCAACCATTGAATGAATTTGAACCTGACTCTGACACTTCGCCCTGCTCTTAGCCGACCCACGCCTCTGTGAATAGACGATGTCTAACATCCAGAGTTGCGAGAAGCCACAAGCACGCCGCGCTGAGGCGGCGGGGCAGGACCCATGACGCGCTTGAGCCAAAAAGGATCTACGCGCCTTGGGCCCAATGTGCTTGGGAGGGGGAGGAGGAGGAGGAGAAAGAAGCAGAGGAGGATTCGGATTCTGAGTGATTGCGAAGCAGTGCGGAAACAAATAATGAGTTATCCCCTATTAGTGGGACCCCAGTCCCTAAAAATATTGATTACCCCTATTGGGGGGGTTCTAAAGACTTATCGCGGCTACTGAAGACCGCGGCCGTGAAGCAGTGAGGACGCGAAGAGTGCACCGCCCGTCGAGGCAGGTCGCCGTAGCTTGTAACCCCACACAGCAGAGCTGCATGCACACGCCGCCTTCCGCAGACTCCACGACTGAGGTGCGTCCGAGTGGCAAAACATTCTGTGTGTGTGTGTGTTTGGGGCGCAGACGATTCATACATCAGTTTTAGCGGCTGGAGTTTATTAGTCTGTTCAACTCATCAACTTTGAGGCCCCTGGTGGGGGCACTTGTCAATCGTTTGCTCCCATTCTGGCTCCTCTCCTCCCCGTTGGCCTGATGCCGATCAGCATGTTCAGGAAAACACCAGGGACCAGAACGACTGAAACAAGTGTAATGTACGTCGCGAAGGCCGCCGAGCAACACCACTGACAGCCTACTGTGTCATAATACGTGGAAGACTTAAAAGGGTGCGGCACGGCATACTTTTGTATTGCGCATCACTGTTTTCAGCGAGAAGTGAGAAGAAAGGACATGAATACGTTCACGAACACAGAACACCATTTGTAACCTGTCGATGACAAAGAGGTGCCCTCAGCCGTACGCCGCACTGCCCAAACTCCACAATGACAATACTGCCAGTATCTCCACAATGACGAGAATACTGGTGAGTTTGCGCCCAGCTCTGCATTTTGTCCAGCTTCGCCACCGCAATCTGCAATACACGAAGAAACGTTTCGACGACGCGATGAAACCACAGCGCCCCGTTGCGGCGCTGGACGCGACTTGGAAGTCACGCTGGCCGAGCAAAGTGCTACGGACGAGCCTCAAGCTGGTGCTCGAGCCGAACTGGCCACGGGAAGAGGAGGAAGAGGAGGAGAAAGGGGAGGAGGACCCTCCCCCATGGAGGAGGCGGACCTCCGACACCTCTGCTGCTCTTCTTGGGGCGGTCTGGGGCTCGCTTGGAGCGCTCTCGGGCCGTGTCTGAGCTGTTCTGTGCACTTCTGGGGCTGTCTTGAGGGTATCATGGGCGCCTCTGGGGCCGTCTTGGGGAGGGGGAGGAGTCGAGTCGAAATCCGAAGCCGACAGTGACAGCGACAGTAGGAGGAGGAGGAGGGTGACGACACGACGACGACGTCGTCGACCTCCGCTCCCAGAGGCCTCCGGAGGTCTGACGTCTCCAGAGAGTTTCAGTTCCAGAGGTCTCCAGAGGCCTCCTCCAGGAGCCTCCGAAGCTCCCTGGTGGTCTTCGGGGGCCAGCCGGAGATGCAAGGAGAGGGCCGTCGAGGGCGCCTCTTGGGTTGCGTGCTACGCCGATCTCCTTGCTCCTCGCCCCTCCCCTGTAACCCCTCGCTGACGGGCTTCGCCCCACCTGGAACGTCCTCCTCCTACTCCTCCCCTCCTCCTCCTCGCTCGGGTTGCTCATGCATTTCTGTTGGTCCTCCTCCCGAGGCTGGCCGTGCTGGCCGGCCGCTCGGCGCGCGAGTGCCCGCAGCTGGAGGGGCTCCCGGTTCCCCCGCCGCGCGCCGGGGTGGCCGCGGTGGAGGCCGCCGTGGAGGGCGAGGCGTTCGCGCTCGCAACGGCGAGGAGGCGGTGGAGGAGGAGGATGAGGAGGAGGAGGAGGAGGTGGAGGAGGAGGAGGAGGAGGAGGCGGAGGAGGAGGAGGAGGAGGAG